GCCCGTGAGGACGCGGGTAGTCCTGTTTCCCGCTGGCGCGCAACGGGCGCCACTTGGGCCGTGATCGTTGCCGTCGCCCCCCCCCCCCCCCTGGGTGGCGGCAGCGATCGTGCGTGTCTGTGTGGGCGGGGGGCCCCCTCCCACATGTTGGTGCCCGAAGGCCTCTTGTGCTGCTTGCAGGTATGGTGCGGCTCTCGCATGTTCATTCCGCCCAACCGACTCAGTGTTCCCCGTGACCGGCGCCGAGGTAGCAGCGTCGGGGATTTTGGAGGCGGACGAAGGGGAAGGGTCGAAAAAGTTAAACATTGTAACTAAGAGTCTGGTGTATTTGTATGGCATGCGCCCGGTGGGCGATCCAGGAGCGCCCGACTTGGCGCACTTGTCGCTGTGCGAGTTCTTGAGATGCTGGCGTGCAGAGCTGGCAGCATTTCCTCGCAGTGGAGCGGAGATGTTGGCTGCGGTCAGCAATGAGTACCAGGCGGAGCTGACGCTGTCTGGAGTTCAGAAGGTCTGCGAGGCAGACCAGGACAAGGCGGAAGCTGGCGAGGGCGGGGCGCCGATGGGGGCCCAGTTGATAGCGGGAGTACATTACGTGGCCAAGGAAGGTGGAAATCATTCGTGGTTCCGTTCCAGGATGTTCCAGAGGTGGAAACTCTCAGGCGCGCGTGGGTGCTCGTGCGGATCGAGCGCCCGAGGAGCCCGAGTGTCCCGAGTTTTTATGGAGCGCCGCAACCGAAGCACGGGGCGGGAGAGGGGGATGGGAAAGGGTTCCTGTTGATGGTGTATTTTCGGGCGTTCACGCTGCGTGACGACGTCGACTGCGGAGTGCTGCATCTGCGGGATTTCCGCGGAGCGCATGGATCGTGGGCGGAGGCGTCATTCGAGTGGATGACGAAAGGCGCGCCATGTGAGGAGACGGATAGGTGCGTCCAGAACAAAATGGGCGTTGTGGACTTGCGACCGGTCGCGGACGAAGACCTCGCGAAGCACGAGGGCGAGCTGTGCAGCGACGAGGAGCTGGATCCGAGGATGGTCGATGCGGCGGCCAGGCGGAAGACGCGCGCGGCGGGCGCGTCCATGGAGGAGGACAGGCGGGCAAACGCAATTGTGGAGTGCGAAAGAAGAAAGACGGGAGGCCATTTCAAGGGGCGACGCCGTCTGGGGCGAGGGCATGAGTCGGAAGAGCGCGAAGTGCAAGAAGCGCCAGGGGGACGGCGTGTTCAAATGGGATGACGCGGCAGCGCAGAGAGCGCAGGCGGTGGCCGCGGCGTTGAGCGCTGCAGAAGTATGCGGCGCGGGTGAAGCGGAGGGCGGCCCAGACATAGTAACGGAAAAAACGGCAAGGCGTCCTGTGTGAGGAAGTGGAACAACGGGCTTGCGGATGGCGTGTTGAACGCGGCTCAGCGTAGCGTCGTCGAGCAAGTGACAGATCGGGTGTTGGCGCAGGGGTCCGCGAGGCCCGCGGGTGGTCAGAGAAAAGGCGAGAGTCGTTCCGATGCTCGGCCCCTCGCGTGGGTGCTGCATGGTGGGCGAGGGGCGGGGGGGGGAGTTTCGTCGTGGACAAGATCTGGAAGGAGCTGTTCGAGAAAGAGATGGGATGGGCGCGCGGCGTAGACTTCCAGTTGGCAGATTTGCAGGCCACGCGCGTCAGCTCTCGACGGGAATATAATCCAGTGCATTTGGGATCGGTGTAAACAAAGCGGAGGAGTCGCATAAGGGGGAACGATGGGGGCGCAGAGTCCAAAAAGAAGACGAAAGAGGAAAAGGCCGCGCAGCGTATGTCACAGCGGAAGTGGTTGATCGTGTACGAGGTGAGCATGGTGAGCGCGAGCTTCCTGGCAGAGCTCGACTCGCACTTGCGTTAGTCCATGTCAGCCGCGAGTGACGCGAAGGTAGGTGGAGACGGTGTGGACGCACTCTTCGGGGGCTTGAGTGTGCTGTTCTGCTGGGATTTCCATCGATTGGAGCCGCCGTCGGGGACAGCCATTAAAGCGCTGTCCGCGCCGTTTTGGGAGAGCGCGAGGAACTGCGCGCCGGGTGCCGCGGAGGACCGAGTGCAGTATATCTTTTGGGGGGCAGGAGGCGAATGGGCAGTGCGGGGAAAGGCGGAATTGGCGGAGTGCAAGCGCGCGGAGGACCACGGCGACTGTGTCTTGGAGCGCAGGGCGAGTTTCGCCGAGGTGAGCTTTCTGAACGCGCGCGCATTTTTCTGCGTGGGAGGCCGACGGATGTTCCGGGGTCGCGGGTGAACGATGCACCATTGCGCGGGGGCGCGCGTTGTCTAAGAGACGCAGGGGCAATTTCGAAACAGAGCCGGCCAGAGTGTGAGGGGTGCAAAGTTGAGCGAGAGAGGGGCCAACTCGTCGCGACGTCGCCGGAAGACGCGCGGTTGCGCGAGGATAAATTGGTCGACGCCGTCGCCATTTAAGCGAATAATCAGGACATTCGCTGCCGCGTCGGGAAGCAGAGCGCTGTTCAGTGGGCGAAGGGGCGAGGGTAACAGCTGCTTTGGGTCGCAGCCAGACACCGCCCGAACCGTGGTGGGGAACAGAGGCGGCCGCGCACGGTGGAGGACAAAATTCTGTGGCTGGGGTACCGCGACAAGGAGTGCGCAAGCTTGCCGGGGTGGTTACCGCTGGCGAGGGGGATGCTTGTAGCTCTGGGGGATCGCTTGGATCGGTCGAAGAAGCAGCTGTTGCGGGGGAGCACAACGACGATCCATGGATGGGTGTTGCACAAGGACGAGGTCCTGGGAGATGAAGACGAGGAAGTCTTGCTGCACCTACCGAGGGCGATTGTGTTGGATTTTCATGCGAAGGAGTGGCGCCAGCCAGGCTGGGGGCCAGGTCTGCGTCCGATCTTCCCATCGAAACGGCGGCAATTGTCCTTGGGCGGGTGTCGGAAGCACCCAGTATTGAGTGTGAAACGCACGCAGTTTATGATCACCCCGTCCTTGGCAGTTACGGCGCGCGCAGCGCAGGGTCGGACCGTGGGCGTCGCGCTCCAGATACATCGGTCTGATTTGGGATGGTGACGGCGGTCTGTGGGTCAAGGATAAAGTGGCCGAGTCCTCGCCCCCCCCCCCCCTCCTTCCTCCCTCTTCGTTATTTTTTTCCCCCTCCTCCCTTCGCCCTCCTCCCTCCTCCTTCCTGCCTTCTGCCTCTTGCTTTCTCTTCCTCCCCTCCCTCTTCCCCTCCTGCCCTTCGCTGTCTTTCTCCTCCCCCTCCCTGCCTCCTCCTCCTGGTCATCGCAGTCGCTGGTGTCGGGTTCGTGCGCGAGGGGTGCCATCCTCCCCCCTCTTTCTCCTCCTCCCTCCTGCCTTTTTCCGTCCTTCCCATCGGTTTCCATCCCTTACGAGCGTCTCCGCGCGACGTTCCTCTCCGCGGTCGCTGAACGCGGCGCGCGCCCAACAACGTCCACAATCACTGGGTCTTTCTGCCTCGTAGCGCTGGAAACGCCTAGGCAACGGCGAGGCCATCGTGGCCGCTAAACTAGGTGCAGCTGCTCGCCCGTCTGCGTCTGAGGCCGAAATTGAGCAGCTTCAGCACTGCGTTACTGTTGGGGGCTCCAGTTGGGAATCTCGTGCCTCTTGTTTTTGGGGCACTGGCGATACTGGATTTCGTCCTCTTGCTGGAAGCGTTTGCCTTGGCGCTTCCAAATTAAGCGGTCTTAATCTTCGGGCACTGAGTCATGATGCAGTGTCTCCTTTCGTGTCGGATGGCATTTCGTCTACTGTCTGTCCGAGGTGCCGCGCGTATGGCACGCAGAGATATGTTCGAGGCTTCCCTTTGGAGCGTGGAACGCCACGAGGAACCATAACTTTGCACTCAATCGTATTAGCAGGGCCTCGCACCCAAAGTGGTCCGACCTCACTGTCGAGGCAGTTCCGTAGCGTTAATCTTCAGCCTTACAGTCCACGTGGCAAATCCACCCTCCTCAGTTTTCCCTTGTTCCTTCCTTCCCCGCCTCTTCCCTCCTCTCCCCCCCTTGTTTTTTATTCCCTCCCTCCTTCCCTCCATTCTCGCTCCTCGTCGTCTTCCTCTTACTCACCCGAGGTAGGGGTCACAGGCGACCTGCTCGTTTTTTCATAGTTGGATCGGATTATTGGCTGTGGATGTAAAGCAACATGTTTCTTATCCACCTGCCTCCCTTCACTCCCCCCTCCTCCATTATTCCTCCTCTCGCTTCCCTCGTCGCTTCTTGTCTTCTACTAAAACTATATCCTTTCCCGCTCTTTTCTCCTTCGTTTCCCGCTCCTGCCTCCTCCGTCCATCACCTTCGTCTTCCCTCTTCCTCCTCCTTCTCCTCCTCCTCCTCCTCCTCCTCCTCATCTTCCTCCTCCTCCTGCTCTCCCCTCCTTCTCCTCCTCCTCCTCCTCCTCCTCCTCCTCCTCCTCCTCCTCCTCCTCTTCCTAATCCTCCTCCTCCCCCTCCTTCCCCCTTCCCCCCTCCTCCCCCTCCCTTCCCCCTTCCGCCCCCTCCCTCCCCCTTTTTCCTCCTGCCTCATTTTTTTTTTTTTTTTTTTTTTTCTCTCTCTCTCTCTCTCTCTCTCTCTCTCTCTCTCTTCGCCCCTTGCCATTTCCTCCTCGGCTCGTCTATCCTCTTCTCCTTCCCGCTCCTCCCAGTCCATCCTGCGCATCTTTCGCTCTTGTCCTCTTTCATAGCGTTCCTCTTCATCCCCCTCTTCCCTCCTCCTCTCCTTGTTGCTCCTCCTCGTCCTGCTCTTCCGCCTTTGTAGCTCCTCCCTTCAACCCTCTCGTCCCTCTTCATCCCTCCTCCCCCCCTTCCCCCTCCCTCCTGCCCCAGGCCTGCTCCCCTCCCTCCCCCTCCTCTCCCCCCTCCTCGTCCTCTCGCCCGCCTTCCCCCGCCCTCCCCTCGCCCTCCCTCCCCTCCCCTCCCTCCCCTCTCCCCTCCCCCTCCCTCCCCCCCCCCCGCCAAACGCGTGCAGGCCCCTGCCCTCTCCCGACCCCGAGGGCGGCCGGCGCCCCGCCCTGCCAGTACACCCCCGCCGTCTGCCAGAGGGCCTCGCGAAGTGCACCCCGGGCGGGCCGCAGCTCCGTTGCGCCGGCGCAGTCGTCCTGGGAGGCTGCCGCGGACGCTTCCTGGCCCCAGGGGTGCCTCCCTCGGTTCTTGGGCGCCCCCTCCTCGTCGTGACCGTGGGTTGTGGAAGTCGATATTGATGGAGAGGAAGCATGCTGCCAAATAATTCCCAGATGTCTAAAAGATGTTTCAGGCATGACTTAAGTAAGTTTAAGACATGTTTAAAACCTTTTCAGAACATGCTCTACACATTTTAAGCATAATTATCTTTTATCCAATGATAGGATTGTTAGAGTGTCCGTTGTCATGGCATCCACAAAGCTTGGGAGACGTGTTCGGTCGTGCCTGTCGGTTCTCGGCGGCTTTCCAGCCCCAGAGTGCTCTCCAGCAGCTGCGCCTCGCCGAGGGCGTTCCGGGGGTGCCCGACTCGTCCCGAGTGTCCGCCGGAGAGCCGCGTTTTGGCCCAGAAACTAGACGCGTCGTGCAAGAAATCCCCGCGGAAGGTTTTTGGCCGTTGTCGGCCTCCTGGGCCCTCGCCAGGTCCTTGGGCCTTCCAAAAACCATCCGGGATGAGAAGCTTGCCCCAGGTAAAGGGTCGGGACTTTGGGGAGCCCGCATTGAAATCATCAAGGCGTCGGACGTCTGGGCTCGAGCCCCCTGGGGCTATGGGCCTCGTGACGGGCTCTCTCGAGGGGAGAACCATGATGGCCACGACCAAGGCGTCGTGGGACCTCGTCGACGCCGCTCTTGGTCACGGCCCGTGCCGGCCGTTGCCGATTCGCGAGGGTGATCCACGAGCTGGCCATGACCAAGCTTTCTGCCCCTCTATACTCTGCAGGCCGTCCGGGCGTGAGCCGTTGCGTCTTCATGGCCGCGACCCAGGAAAAGGAAAAGCAGGCCGTTTGGGCCTCGCTAGAAATCCTGGGGACACCTCTCGGCCCGCCAAGGGCACCCCTCTGGCAGTTCCCGAGGTCGGGCGCCCGCCAGATGTGCTCCCGGCCCGGGGCGACCCCAGCCAGCCCACAGGGGGGCCCAGGTGCCCTCCAGCAGCACCCCTGCCCAGACCCCCCACGACGGAAAATTGAAGATTTGATCGGAGGAGGAGGAGGAGGAGGAGGAGGCGGAGGAGGAGGAGGAGGAGGAGGAGGAGGAGGAGGAGGAGGAGGAGGAGGGAGGAGGAGGAGGAGGACCCTTACCAGGGCCCCAGAACGAGTCAGGATGAGGAGCCAGTACCCTCGGGAGGGGTCCGGATCTCTGGGGGTCCACGCTGTGGAAAGGCACGGCGTCGGGGGTCTGGCTCGCGGGGCTCATGGAGGGCCCCACAGGGCTCCCCGAGGTGTCGCGAGTCCTCCTCCTCCTGCTGCTCCTCCTCCTCCTGCTTCTCCTCCTCCTCCTGCTCCTCCTCCTCCTCCTTCTCTTCCTCCTCTTCCTCCTCCTCCTCCTGCTCCTCCTCCCTCCTCCTCCTCCTCCTCCTTCTCCTTCTCCTCCTCCTCCTCCTCCTCCTCCTCCTCCTCCTCCTCCTCCTGGGGGGCACCGTGGGCCGAGGCCACCGTCCGGCAGCCACCCTCCGTCCGCTCCCAACAGCGCGGGGCGACGCGGCCAAAGCCAGCCCTGCGCCGCGTCCGAGCTCGCGGCCGCGTTTGGCCGGACACCCTGCCCCCCGGCGGCGCGCAGAGGGGGGGCGGCACCGAGGGCGGGTGGTCCTCCATCTTAAGCAGCGGCAGAAGCATAAACTGTTGGCGCTCCGCGCGGAGTGCCAAAAGTTTATGCTTCTGCCGTTCTCTTCTTTTACTCCAGGCCCAGATCTCCGACGGTGCGTTTTCGTCCAGTCCTGGCGTTTTTCTTCGGCTTCGGCCTCTGAGGCCCGTCATCGGGCCCTGGGGCCATCAACGTGCATCCAGGACCCAGAACTAGCCTCTGGGGAGAGGTCGGCAGCTCTGGGGCCGCGGATTGAAGAAATCTGACCTCAACTAGTTCGGTACACCCCTCACACGTTTCGTGGCGCCATATGGAGCTCCAGCGAAGGCCCCAGGGGCGACGTTCGCATGCGTCCGCCCTACCTAGTACAGCGATTCGTGGCCCCATAGGGAGCTCCACCGAAGGCACCATTGGCGACGTTCGCATGCGGCCGCCCCACCCAGTACAGCGTTTCGTGGCCTCATAGAGAGCTCCACCGAAGGCCCCAGTGGCAACGTTCGCATGCGTCCGCCCCGCCCAGTACAGCTCTTTGTGGCCCCATAGGGAGCTCCACCGAAGGCCCCAGGGGCGACGTGCGCATGCGTCCGCCCCGCCCAGTACAGCGTTTCGTGGCCCCATAGGGAGCTCCCCCGCCCCGCCCAGTACAATGATTCGAGCCCCATAGAGAGCGCCCCCGAAGGCCCCAGTGGCGACGTTCACATGCGTCCGCCCTACCCAGTAAAGCGTTTCGTGGCCTCATTATTAGAGAGCTCCACCGAATGCCCCGGTGGCGATGTTCGCATGCGTCCGCCCCACCCAGTAATGCGTTTCGTGGCCGCACAGAGAGTTCCACCGAAGGGCCGAGTGGCGGCGTTCGCATGCGTCCGCCCCACTCATTGTTTTGTGGCCCCATATGGAGCTCCACCGAAGGCACCATTGGCGACGTTCGCATGGGTCCGCCCCGCCCAGTACAGCGTTTCGTGGCCCTATATGGGGGCTTCACCGAAGGCCCCAGTGGCGACGTTCGCATGCGTCCGCCCAACCCAGTACAGCGTTTCGTGGCCTCATAGAGAGCTCCACCGAACGCCCCAGTGGCGACGTTCGCATGCGTCCGCCCCGCCAAGTACAGCGATTTGTGGCTCCATAGGGAGCTCCACCGAATGCCCCAGTGGCGGCGTTCGCACGCGTCCGCCCGACCAAGTACAGCGATTTGTGGCCCCATAGGGAGCTCCACCGAAGGCCCCAGTGGGGACGTTCGCATGCGTCGGGCCAGCCCAGCACAGCGTTTCGTGGCCGCATAGAGAGCTACACCGAAGGGCCCCAGGGGCGACGTTCGTACGCGTCCGCCCCGCCCAGTACAGCGATTCGTGGCTCCAGAAGGGGGCTCCACCGAAGGCCCCAGGGGCGACGTGCGCATGCGTCCGCCCCGCCCAGTACAGCGTTTCGTGGCCCTATAGGGAGCTCCACCGAAGGCTTCAGTGGCGGCGTTCGCATGCGTCCGCCTCGCTCAGTACAGCGTTTCGTGGCCCCATAGGGAGCTCCCCCGCCCCGCCCAGTACAATGATTCGAGCCCCATAGAGAGCGCCCCCGAAGGCCCCAGTGGCGACGTTCACATGCGTCCGCCCTACCCAGTAAAGCGTTTCGTGGCCGCACAGAGAGCTCCACCGAAGGGCCGAGTGGCGGCGTTCGCATGCGTCCGCCCCGCCCACGTCGTCACACCCCCATTTGGGCACACCGCTCACACGCTTCGTGGCCCCATACAAAGGGGGTAGACGTAAGGCCCCAGTAGCAGCGCCCGCAAGGCCCCGCCCCCCCATTTCGGCACACCCTTTACACGCTTCGTGGCCCCACAATGAGATCCACCGATGGCTTTACCCAAAACGGCGATATTCACAACTGCACATGGTTGGGTCCTTCGCCAGGATAATGTTCGGGGGGCGTTGAGGGCGGTGACTCTCCAAGGGAAGCGTTGAGTCTTTTGGGAGGCGCTCTGGGGGAGCTCTCTGAGACTCTGAGAAAGGGCGGCCCTGGGCCCTTCCGAGACGCTCCGCTGCCTGTGTGGGGGAACGGTTTCGCCCTCCTGCTCTTGGACGCTTCTGGCCCCTGCAGGCCGTTTGTCTGGTTCTGGGGCCGGCCAGCGGCGATTGGGGATGAAGAGCCAGCCCCGGGTCACGGGGTCGAGGCCGCCAGGGGCCCGTGGCAGGCGCACAGTGCGAGGCCAGAGTTGTGGAGGACGATCAATGGAGAGGAAACATGTTGCCAAACAAGTTCCAGATGTGTGAAACATGTTTTAAACATGTAAAAAACATGTTTAACACATGTTTAGAACATCTTCCTGCATGTTGAACACATCTTGAAATTCAAAGATAGGACTGTCAGGGTGTCCACTGTCGTGGCATCCACAAGGCCATGGGAGAGGGACGCGCGGGAACTTCCGCCAGACGGACCTCCTGGTGCGGGTCCGCGGGCGCGGCGGGGTCGGGGCCCACCGGAGCTGTGCCGATCCCGGCAGGCGGGCTCCGACGCCCGGGGGGTCGGAGCACCGCAGCGGTTCGGCTCACCGCGGGCGGAAGAAGAGCTCCGTTGAAGTCTGCTCTTGCATGATCATCTTGGCAGTGGAGGCCGAACGGCATCCCGCAAAGGAGCCCGCTCGGTTTGCATCTTGCGCCGTTGGGCTCTCGACCGCTCCACTGCCTTCTGATGTGGAAGTTCTAGGAGACGGCCCCATGCAGGCTCCAGGCACTTCAAGACGGCCTTCAGATTACTCAAGAGGCCCCCAACACGAAGAGGCCTTCTAGGAGGGCCCGAAGAAGCCAGCACCATAGCCTTTCCAATGGGTTGTCAGCGGTTTTCGCGTTCTCGCCGTGTCGCGCTCCCGGCGGCCCATGGGGCCTCCGAGACGGCACCGGTACGGCCCAACAAGCCCTCCAAAAGGAACCCAAGACGGACCATGAGGGACCCGAGACGGCCAAAGATTACCAGCCTGGAACATATCCCTATCCCTATGCTGGGCACCTCCTCATCACGATGCCAATCTTAGGGATTCCCTTATTTTTTGAGGGCGAATCCCTAAGATTGTCATCGCTTTTTGGCGTGTCAATCTTAGGGATAGGGACACGTTCGAGGCTGGTCAAAAGAGACTTCCAAGGCGGCCCCACGGCGCCCCAAGAGAGCCCTAAGGCGGCCCGGGAAGGCACGCAAGAATACCTTCCAGACCTCAGACGGGCCGCGGGCGGCCCAGGACAGCCCAAGAGGCCCCCCTCCTCCTCCTCCTCCTCCTCCTCCTCCTCCTCCTCCTCCTCCTCCTCCTCTTCCTCCTCCTCCTCCCCCCCAAGGCCCCAGAGGCCCGACCAGAGATCCACAGATGGTCCCCAAGAGGCCCCCAAGTGGCTTCCAGGAGGCTCCCAAGAGGCCCCAAGAGGCTCCAGGTGTTCTCCCAAGGGTTTCCGCAACGGCGGAGGGAACACATCGCCCAAGAGGTTGGCAAGACTTCTGCCCGACGTTTGGCCATACAGGCGCTTCAGGCAGGGGGCACTTCCATCAGCATCACCATGTCAATCCACCGGGGTAATCAGCATCACCATGACACTCATAAGCCTGACCATAGCACCATCATCCTTGTCATCATCAAAACCTTCCTCCTTTCTCTTCCTTCTCCTCCTCCTTCTTCTCCTTTATTTCCCCCCCAGCATCGTCATCATCACCATCCGCATCACCATCATCAAGCTTATCCATATCATCATCACCATCTCCAGCAGCACCATCGCCGTCAACATCTTTAGCATCATCATCATCATCATCATCATCATCATCATCATCATCATCATCATCATCATCATCATCATCTGAACCGTGACCATCATTATTATGATCCTCACCATCACCATATTCACCATCGCCTTCCCATACTGGTCCTACTCCTCATCACCATCCTCTCCATCGTCACCATCACCACCCTCATCGTCATCGTCATCAATGTTGGTATCAGTATCGCCATTCTCTTCTTCATCGCCATCCTTAGCATCATCACTGGCGTCGTCCTCGTCGCCGTCATCATAATGATCATCATTACCACTATCATCATCAGCAGCATCAGCGCCTGCCGCCCTTTTCTCTTCCACCCCAATCTGCCCTCCCCCCCTGCCCCTCTCCCCGCTTCCTCCGTGAAAGGGCGAAAAGGGAGTGGTGAGGAGAGCCGGGGAGTGCGGAGGTCGGGAGACGAGGGAGGAGCGCGACGGCGCTTCGAGGAGTTGGGAGGAGTACGGAGTACGGAGGACGGGGGTGCAGTGAGGAAGATGGAAAGGCTGTGAGGAGGAGTGGGGGGAGGAGCGAGGAGGGAGGGGAAAAGAAACGAGAGGAGAACATGAGAGGGAGGGAGAGGAATGTTCTCACCCTCCTTTCGGGTCCCTTCGGGCGCGCGAGCGAAAAAGCATGGCGGCGCAAGCGGCGAATCATGCGTCGCAAGCGGCAAAGCACGGCGCGCGCGAGAAAAAACGACAAAACCTACGACGACGAAACACGACGACGGCTGACGACTGATAACGACGACGGCGAATGACGAAGCGCGACGATACGACTACGACGAGGCAGCACGACGACGGTGACAAACCAGTGACGACTGACGAGAGCCCGTCACGCGCCCTCACTCCCTATCAACATTGGAGCCGTGACCAGCATCCTTACTATCCTTACCATCATCGTAAGCATCATCTTCATCCTCGTACTCATCCTCATCGTTCCTCCATCAGCACCATTCTCACCAATATCGCCTGCACCACCCTATCATCCCATCATGATCGTCATTACTAGCACCGTTGCCATCACCATCTGCATCGCCGTCTTCAGCATCATGATCACGGACGTCGTCATCGTCGTCGCCATCCGCATTATCACCACCATCTCCTTATCACCACCGCCATCACCGGCACCATCGCCCCCCCGTCCTCTCCTGCTTCTCCCCCTCCCTTCTGCCCTCATCCCCTCGGCCCCTTCCTCCTCCGCCTCCTCCGAGAGGGAGAGTGGCGAGGAGTGCCGAACAGTGGGGAGGGCGGGCGGCGAGGGAGGGAGGAATCCTCAGGAACCCGCGGAAATCCTCAGGACTCCTTCCCCACCACGGCACCCCGACCCAACCCGAGGGACTTCCTGCTGGAGTCCTGCGGATCCCTGAAGGACCTCAGGGGTCCTCAGGATTCCTGCAGGAATCCTCAGGAAAACTTTAAGTCGGGCCTGTCCCTCTACAGGGGGAATCTTCATACACAGTAAAACATAGTCTGGGGACGTATTTCTTGGGATCTTTTCAGCATCTTTGGAGTATTTTTGATTTTTCGTCGAAAATCCCCCTGCAGGGGGACACGCCCGAGTCAAGGACAACTCAGGAATCCTTCAAGAATTCCCAGGGATCTTCAGGAATCCTCCGGGGGCCAGAGATCCATCGGAATGCTACAGGAAGCCTTGGGACTCCTCCTTAGAATCCATGGGAATCTTTCAGGAATTCACATGGATCCAGAGGAATCCGCAGGGATCAAAAGGAATCCATCGGAATCCTCAGGAATCTGTCGGCATCCGTAGGAATCCATGCGACATTTTCAAGAAGCCTCAGGAAGCCTTCAGGAATCTAGTAGGAAGGTCCATGAATCCATCGGAATCCTATGGGATCCATCGGAATCCTCAGGAATTCCAGAATCCTTCAGGAATCCTTCTGGATCCATTGAAGACCTTGGGTTTCCAAAGGAATCCGCAGGACGCCTTGACAATCCTCAAGAATCCGTCGGACGCCTCAGGAATTCTTAGAAATCTTGCAGGAATCCTGAGAATCTTAGAGACATGCTGCAGGAATCCTGCAGGAATCTTCAGGGATCTTTGGAAATCCCGAAGGAATCCGCACGAACCCGTAGGGGCCCTTCAGGAATCCTCCAGGAATCCTCAGCAATCCTTCGCGAAGCCGAGGAGACGCCTTCTAGGAGGCGCCTTCTGGGAGGCGCCTTCTAGAAGGCGCCTTCTGGGATATGCGCCTTCTAGAAGGCGCTTGCGAAACGCTTGAAGCTTGAAAGCTTGAAGAAGCTTCGTTGGGAGTTGAACTGTTCTGGCTTTCAGGCCCGTTGGGATCTGAACCAGCCTTTCGGGATCTGACCCGTCCCGCTTGGATCTGGAACTTTCTCGCCCACAGACCCCCCCCCAGCACTGGCTTGCGCGATTGGTTTCTGGTCCCCTGAAGCCGCCCACAAAATGCAGGGTCCATTTTGATCGTACCGATCCGATGTGATAGTAATACTAGCTGGCCCGATCCGATTCGATTCCGATTTTCCGACGAACCGATGCGGCTTGGTGCCTGCATGGCGCTGTTGGGCATCCTGGCGCAGCCGATCCGACTCGGTTTCCACTTCGTGCAGATACAGCCCGATCCGACGCACGTCGGGGGAGGTCGCGGCTTTCGGTAGGACGTGGGAGCCCACTGCCACCAATTCCTTCACCGCCGAAGCGGCTGGGCTCCGGCTCATGTTTGCTGCGCTCGTCGCGTTGCAGGGGGCCGGCGACCTTCCTCGGCTGCGACACCCTGTGTTCGGGCGCGATCTGTGCAGCAGGTATTTGCACTGACCTCGGGCTCTGTCGGCAGTGGCGGAAGGGCTGTGAGTGGCGGCGGCGCGGGCGCCGAAGAACGGTCCCCCGATCCGATGTTCCATTCGACCCGAGCTTCCGATTCGAGGTTTGATTCGATCCAGGAGGAGGAGGAGGAGGAGGAGGAGGAGGAGGAGGAGGAGGAGGAGGAGGAGGAGGAGGAGGAGGAGAGGGGGAGGAGGAGCAGGGGAGGGGGAGGGGGAGGAGGAGGAGGAGGAGAGGAGGAGGAGGAGGGAGGAGGAGGAGGAGGAGGGAGGAGGAGGAGGAGGAGGACGAGGAGGAGGAGGAGGAGGAGGAGGAGGAGGAGGAGGAGGAGGAGGAGGAGGAGGAGGAGGAGGAGGAGGACGAGGAGGCTCACCAGGTGCCACGTCTGCGCTCGGCCGAGAGCTGGTCGGAGGGCCGCCCCCCCTTCGCACGGCCCCGCCCCTCTGCAGCGCCGCCGGCCCGTGTACAGAAAGTAGGGCCCCGCACTCGGCTCGCGTGCTTGTGCGGGCGTTGAAGATCGGGACCTCTGCTGGCGCCGCTCTCCTCCTCCTCCTACTCCTCCTCCTCCTCTCCTCCTCCTCCTCCTCCTCCTCCTCCTCCTCCCCTCCTCCTCCTCCTGCTCCTCCTCCTCCTCCTCCTCATCTTTCTCACTCAAGCCATATCGGCCCGAGCACCAAGTCCTCTTCCCCCGTGGAGAGGCCGCGTGTTCGCGCCGCCTCGGTGCCGTCCCGTGGCGCTTGAGGGACAACCTCAGTCGAGGGTGCAGCCCAGCCCTCCAGCTTTGGTTGACTAAAGCCGAGGTTCGCCATGAGCCGTCCGTGGTCATCGTGTCAGCACTGTGGGCGAAAGGAATACAACGAATTGCTGATTGAGAGGGGCCAGAAATGTGTTTGTGGCAAGAAGGTTACATTGTATAAGCCCAAGAAGAAGCCACCCGCCCCCATGGATGGAGTAGTGCAGGCTGCTCCCAAGGGTGCCCTACGGAAGTCAGTGCGCTTTGCTGACGGACAGGATGGTCTTGACAGTGGAGGCGGTGGCTCACGACCTTCGACGCCCACTTCTTCTCCGAGGGGATCGGCAGGGGTGCAGAAGGATCAGGATTCAGTGGCATCTCATCTTCAGGTGGCACTCCAGTCAGCGCGAGACCCTGAACTACGTGCCAGTCTTCAGCAGCAGCTCGATAAGCTTCAAGCCCAGAGGAGCCCAGGTGCTTCCAACGTGGTGCAGGCCATGCAGCAGGCCGACGGAGCGTGGAGAGATGCGAAGAACCGCCATCAACAGGCGGTCGCATCAGTTTTGCGATGGAGAAGAATCTCGCAGCTGCTCGTGAGAAGGAAGCTAAGTTGTCCAAGTTGGTAGCAGAGGCCAGTTTCACAAGGTCGCAGGCTGTTGCAGCGGTGGCAACGCTTGGGGGAGTGGCAGGCGCTGCGCAGCCGGATTCATCTATCAAAGAAGAGAAGAAGCCCCTCGATGTCGTGTGGGACGGGGATCTTTTCAACAACTTGGATCAGCTCGAGTGTGAGCAGGCGGAGCGAGAATTGTTGCGTAATTGTCTGGCAGAGTTGCAGTCGCAGAAGGCGTCCATTTCCACCAAAGCCGACGAGGTTGCTCAGCTGGTCGAGAGAGCTAAGGCGACCAAGGCCGCCATCTCTGAGAGGTTGGCCAAGAAGCGCCGTAACACTTCAGGTGAAACTGATGGTAGTTCCCCTGCAGGTGGTGCTCCAGCAGTCGCAGCTGAGTCGTCAGGCGCTGGATCGGTGACTGCAGCATCTCCAGAGGTTGAGGCCAAGCAGAAGGCAGAGAGGGAAGCCAAGATTGCAGCCGAGGCGGAGAGGATCTCGCAGGCGCGGTTCCAGGCCCAGAGGCACGCGGAGCAGGCCGCGGCGGCACACCAATATCCTTCGCATTGACTAGGGACTACGAAGTCCCCCCGTGCGGCTTACGAGCCGCGTGCCCGTCCTCAGCTACCAGAATTCTCCATCGTGCTGTCCAGGAACGTTACGTCCATGGGTGACAAGGTGCGGGACTTCGCCGTGGCCATGCTTTACGTGCTAATTCGACCACTTGGTTTAAAGCACGCTCGTCGAGCCAGCGTCAGGTTGCATATGAACCCAGCCCGTAAGACAGGTCGCGCGGTCACTGTTCAAGGCCAGGATCGTGACACTGAGGGTGGGGGGGGGGGGGGGGGGGATTTTGATGCCTGGTCACAGGCAAGCACACTCTTTAGTTCACTCACCAGCTCGATCGTGTTCATGAGTTCCAGTATGATGGTCAGGTGGCAGTTGGCGGGTTTGCGGCTGTACATATACAAATGTCTGGGTATTCGTATGATTTGGTTTCCTTTTATGCCTACACTTCGGTGGGCATGGCCAGCTCGAACCTTGCTAGGTTAGCAAAGCTGGGGGCCTTTTTGGCCGCGCTGAAACTTCCCTGGGTCCTTGTGGGAGATTTCAATATGTCCGCTGCCGTACTCGGTAAAGCTGGATTTTTCACTCGCGTAGGTGGTCAGCCTGTGCGCCCAGGTACAGAATGCACTTGCGATGCGGGTAGGTCTGGCTCTAACATAGACTTTTCCGTCATCAGCTCGGCAGCGGCTCCATATTTTCATTCGATTTCACCAGTGTTTAAGGTCCCGTGGAAAACTCACTGCGGTCTCAAGCTTTGATGAGATCGTCTGGTAAGCACCTAATTCAGAGTGCCCTTCAGCTCCCGAAGAAGTTGCTTCAAGTTGCCTGGCCCACCACTCGGCCAACGGATGGGGTCTAAGTCCCAGGCAGCTAAGGCCCAGCGAAAGCTTAAGACTGAGGCTTTTGATGAGCGTCGTTCACAATACTATTCTAACCTTTTTTGGCGACGCGTGGACTCGCGAGGAGAACGAGCGCAGTGGTGCCCGAGAGGTCAGCGCGCCAGCTGATCTCGATGACTTGTCTGATGCGCCCTCGGAGGAGGATCCTTGGGCGCACGAGCTAAATTTTTCGGATGCTCACACGTCGGCGTCGCCAGGAGAACTGGATGCGTCGGTTCCCTCGGGGGTCGGATCCTCTCGTCTTCCCGACGGCTCTGCTCAGGGCCGGCCTGGCCAACGCGGTATGTCCATCATGGGCGGGCGGTTTCACTTGCCCCAGTGTGCCCATTCTGTCGCGTGGGGTCTTGCTGGTGAGGATCACATATCGTCGTCTCTGAGCCATGCAGGCGACCCCCCTGCAGATAGTGTTGAGCCGCCCCCCTCAGGTACAGACGAAGAGGCCAATGTTGTACCTTTTCGCATTCCTGACGAGACATGGGTGAATGCTCGTGCTCAGGTCGGGTTGCTGCCATCGCCGTCACCTGCTCCTGCTTTTGCTGCCCCCGTAGCTGCTAGGCTCGGGTCTGAATCCGTAGCTCCTGTGTCAGCGTTGTATGGTACGTGGGTGAAGGCAGTCGAGGCGACGATATGCGATCATCATGGCATTGACCCTTAGCAGGAATTTCTCGGTCTCAAGGCTACAGATGTGTTGTTCAGCGGGTACGTGGGCCGAATAAGTCGCGTATAACCCCCTTTAGCAACATTATCGCTTCATGGTGGGAGCAGCTTTCGGTCGTTTTGGAACGTATCCAGGGGCATAGATCTAAAGGCAATTGGGTGGTTCAGAGAGAGCAGTTACGCATTGCCCTTCTGCGTCTTATGGATGAGGCCCCCGATAGGGCCCATGCGGGGATTCGGTTGGGGGCGGAGCCGTCTTGGGCAGCTTGGTGTCAACTCGTGCAGAGAGGGGCTTCGGTCTCAGCCTCTATCCTTCAGAAGTTTGTCAAGTCAGCGCAGCGTGTTGCAGCGCGATGCCGACGGCGAGCGTTGCGCGCATCTCTCGATGATTTTAGAGATTGGATCACTACCAAAGAGGCTGAGGGTACACTGCGTCGTGCGATTCGGGCCGATCCCCAGGTCGGTGATGAAATGGTTACAGAGTCTGCTGTGTTTTGCAGCCCTATCGACATGGTTGACCAAAAAGCGAAACAATTTATCAAGCTGTGGACCCCAAGCCCAGTGGATACAGATGCAGTTTGCCAGGCCTTTGGTGAAGTTCGAGCAGCGGCGCTTTTAGAGCCGCTAGAGCCGTTGGATGTTGCAGGTATTCGTATGGCTGCTCATTCGTTCAAGCCTAGGGCATGTTTGGGAGCGGATGTTCTCGCGCCGCTTGATTTTGAGCGTTTGCCTGATCTGGCTCTCGATGAGCTACGTGTTTTGTACGCGATCGTGGAAGACACTCTGGTTTGGCCCTCGCAAGTTTCTCTGGTTCTCGGGAGGCTTTTACCTAGAAAGTCCAATGGGGGTCGGGTGATCGGAGCGTTGGCCCTGTTCACTCGAGTGTGGTCTAAAGCCAGGGGGCCTGCCGTTCAAGCGTGGGGCTTGGCCAATGAGCCAAGTTGGGGTGCTGCTGTCAAGGATAATGGAGCCTTGCAGGAGGCATTCTTTCGAGTCTTGGAGGATGAGGTGACGGGCGCTTTGGGGGTACCTTCAGGTTAATGAGTGCTTGATGTGGAAGGGTTTTACGGTTCCATGGAATGGGTGGTGCTTATTCGGGCAGCCTTGAGGCTCGGCTTCCCAGCTACCATTCTTCTGTATTTAGAGTTGTTACTCTGCGTTTGTCCTCGCACTTTAGGCCAGAGTGGATCCTGTGCTGAAGCGTTTTGCCCCTCGCCTTCTATCATCCAGGGACTTAGGTCAGGGGCCAGATTTATTCGTTTTTGTTGTTGTTGTTGTTTGTTTTTTTGTTACTGGGCCATTATCCGCAAGCGTTTGTTTACAGGTCTGCCGGATACCTGCCTCGGTCTGCATGGCGTTCAGCTTCGCGTATCGCCGAAGTCGGTGATCATTTGCTCTTATATTCCCGATGCCAAGTCCATTGCCAGTCGATTGTCTGACGCAGGATTCCCTGTTAGAGCAGTTGCACAGGCGGGTTACCTGGGGGCGGACTTGGGAGGAGGCAGGAGGCAGGCGCGAGGTAATCGTATTAAGCGTGTGGTCAAAGGCGTGGCAATGCATTCTAGAGTACTTCGTTTCGCGCGTGCTACTCGTAAGTATGCTGTTACTGCCAAGCTGGAGAGAGCTGGCACTCTTGCTGCACAGCTGTATGCCCACCGAATTCATGGTGTATTCGGTTCTGCTATGATCCGTTGCCGCCGTCAGATGGGTGCTGCATGTGGTTCTGGGAAAAGGGACGGTGCCTCGCGACCCTCCTGGACCTAAGGGCCCCCATGGGAGACCCAGCTGTGTATTTCCCTCGGCTGTGTTTCGAATTCTGGATGAGGCAATGGATCATGCAACCTTCCATTCGGTCAGGAGTGCGCAGAGCCTGGCCTGTCTTGCTGCGGAGGTTTCAGCAGGTTGCTCCACAGCATCGGTCACGTCATGTTCGTGGGCCTATGGGGGCGATCATGCTATATCTGTTGGAGGCGGGCTGGGATCCCTTGGAACCTGATCATTGGAAGGCCCCGTCAGACTTCCCTGGTGATCTGGAGGCATGGAGGTTTCCTGAAGAGGGTCTTTCGGGCAACATCATGTTGGACTCTCCTGAGCCTGTTATTCGGGACGTTCTGTTTTCCATTCAGTCCAAGCTGTGGCGCGGCGCGGCTGAGCACTGGTGTGGAGACGGCGTCCAGAATGGCATCGATGGCGCATCTTATCGCCGGCTCATTTCCCAGCTCAAGCTGGTTCCGCAGGGTGAGCGCTTGAGTGAGCTTATGACAGCGATTGCGGTTGGGGGGTATTTGGCCTAGGGCTCGGATTAAATTTGAACTCGATGCTAGTTTTGACGATCTGTGCCCTCGGTGCCAGAAGTGTCTTGAAACGGCGTTGCATCGTGCTTGGGGTTGTGAAGATAATGCCGGTGTGACGGCCTATGAGCAATCGCAGGACCTTGTTGGAGAAGCGTTCATTCAAGCTGATGCTCTACCTGCCTTTTGGCTTCGTGGACTCATTCCTGCCTCAGCCACTGCTCTGCCGCCGCCACCCGACACGGAGTTCTGGTGGACCTCAGGGTGCAACGATGTGAGTGCTGGATCCATGGGCCGCGGGGGCCCTGGGGACCCGCTCCTGGTCTTTGGGGGTGCTTCTGGTGGGAAAACGTCGGGAGAAAGCAGGCTCCGCCGTGTGGGGGTGGCCGTTGTCACTTTCGATTGTTTTTTGTTTCCCGCTTTCTATTCGCTCGTCAGCGTTTGGGCGGCTACCTGGATGCCGCCAATCTGTGCCCCGCGGTGAGTTGCTGGCGTTCGAGCTAGCACTGCGCACGACGGTTGGTCATATATGCTATGTGACCGACAATGAGTCTGTGATGCGTGGGTTTTTCGGCGGAAAATGTGAGGTGCCTAGCGGTGTCGATGCGGACCTCTGGCTGAGAGTCGCAAAGTTTCTGGCGCAGAGGGTTGGCGAGGTCACTATGATTTTCACCAATTCCCATATTTCGGGTACTGACATTGTTGATTGCTCCATCCCTCCTGCTCTTGTTGCGGGAAATGTGGTTGCGGACTCACTCGCGGGAGAGGCCGCGACCCGCGCCCAGATCCCAGAGGCGATAAGGCATAAGGTGCTGATCGAGGAGAAGCGCGCCTGGCAGGTGCGCCACCGCCTGCTGCGCGCGTCCTTGGGCGCCATGCAGGCCGAGGAGCGGGGTGGTGGTGGCAGGAGATGGGGCCTTCTCGTCCCCCCCTCGCCCTCCTGCCCCTGCTCTTGTGGCCGCCTTCTCGTCCAGTCACCAGCTTGATGAGTCCCGTAAAGGTGTCAGACTTGTTTCGGTTCGGCCACTCTGGCCACTCTCAAGGAGTGGCACGAGTCTCCTTGTTTCACTCCGTCCCCTGTTAATGCTCAGTATCTTGCCCTTCCCCTGGGGGGGCGGCTCCACATTGCGGGGGGTTGGGCTCACGAGACACACTCGATGAGGCTCCAGAGGGCCCATAATCTTTGGTTTTGTCAGGCTTGTGGTTTCTATGCTCATGTTTCTATGCGTGAGCTGTCGAAACCATGTTCTCATAAGCTTGACCCCCATCTCCGAGAATATATGTCTTGTATCGATGATGGGTTGTGGCCGAAAGCTCTCCGTAAAGCTGAGTAGCTCACTCGTGGCCAGTAATTCCTGAACCACTACGTGGGATGGCCTGTTCCTGTTCCTGTTCCTCCTCATTTTTATCCTTCTCCTCCTCCCCCTCCTCCTCCTCCTCCTCCTTATCCTCCTCCTCCTCCTCCCCCCCTCCTCCGCCTCCTCCTCCTCCTCTTCCTCCGCCTCCTCCCCCTCCTCCTCCTCCTCCTCCTCCTCCTCCTCCTCCTCCTCCTCCTCCTCTTCCTCCTCCTCCTCCTCCTCCTCCTCCTCCTCTTCCTCCTCCATGCAGCGCGCGTGATCGCCGCTGCCCATTTCAGCACCTGAGCGTTCGCCTGGGCCGTCTGGAGGATGCATCAGGCCCTCTCAAGCGGTCTGAAATCACACCGAGCCTTCTGGCCAGGATAAACCTGCTTCGAGGGCCCCGGGAGTTCCTCGAGGTACCCGTAACACGTGTTGCTTCTTCCAGCGAGATCTACGATACTGTGGGTAAAAACACACAAAACCACACTGTGGGCAAACAACACATAACAAAACAAAAGACACAATGTGGGAACAAAACACACAGGAAACACACAGACGGTGTGTTTTTTTGATATCCCGTTGTACTTTCCGTGCCAGGGCTCGCCGGGTCTCTCACTCCAGCCTCGAACCGACAGGGGCAGCGGCAGGCACGCTGTACAGGGCGAGTCGCTGCGTGCCGCTTAGACACGCGCGCGTGCCCGAAGCACAACACGCGCAGGCCTAGAGATTTACACCAACACCAAAGTCGGCCGTGTGCATCCACCGAGGGAAGAAGACCCCGATCTCGGTGATGGCGGTAACATTCTGGCTTCCAAGGTGACCGAAACATTTTCACCAACACCGAAATTTAGGATCATCTTCCCACTGGAGGCAACCCCCCTATGTTGGTGTTGGTGCCCATTTCCAGGCCTCCAACATACGCGCATGTAAGTCTACGTACGCATCAACGTAACTAACGCAAATTTGCCGTACGACTGTCACGATGTACGATCCCTAGAACGTGGGTGCAGCATGTTCCTTTTGGTGAGCTACTGGCTTCAGTCTAGCCCGTCGTTAGAGTAGAGGCTGTGCGGTTTTTGTGACCGACAACGAGTCCGTGGGTGCAGGGTGGTACAGTCGGCGCTACCTCGACAAACGGGGAGATCATCAGGACTTGTGGCACGAGCTCGGTCTTTCAGCTGAGGATCGGGATTTCGCTGAGTTTGTTGGGCTCCAAGTGCCTTCGCACTTATCCGCCGCCGAAGCCGTCTCGGGTCCTCATCCCTTGTGGCTTATCTTAGGGAACTGCGGCCGACGAGATCGCAGGCCTCGCAGCTCAGGAAAATCGTCTTCCCGCTCCTGACAGGGTCCGTGTTGCACAGGTCGAGCACAAAGCGTGTCTTGTCAGGAACAGCTTTTTTAAGGGCCAACCTAGATGCCATTTCTGTTGAAAAACTGTCCCCTGTTATCAGAAAAAGCGCTCCTGCCCCTCCCCTCTCCCGCGGCCTTGTCTGTTTTTTTCCTCTCGGCATCAGCTCTTGGATTACGGGAGAAGTTGTGTGAGGTGTCGGGGCAGTGCCGCCGAATATGCTCTCACCAAGTGGGGTGGCACTCCCTGTGTAGAACTGATCCCGCAGCATAATTCGGATCTCCTACGGTTGGGAGTGGTCTCGCGCATTCCATTCATAGTCTATTATGTCATACAAGCTTCAATATTTGGTTCTGCAAGGAGTGTGGATACTACGGGAGTGCAGGGCCTCCCCCACATCAACCCGAATCGAACATATCAATAATATTTACGACGGCAAGATGCCGAAGTAACAGCCTTGCCCAAGAGGAGGAAGTCTCAGCTCGCGATCGGGTGACGTTTTTCATCGCTTCGCGATAGGTCCATTCCATTCCATTCCTCTTCCTCCTCTCCTCTCCTCCTCGCGCAGCGAGTGGCACGGACGTGTAATACTCAATATCGTGTCGATGTTGAGGAGGCGCAAAAAGAAGTGGAGGGGGGGGCGGCGTAGCGTAGGGGAGATGACAATGGTGAGACCGAGGGCTTAGGACAGTGAGGAGACCGATGCTTGAGCACAAGGTGGCTGCGGGCTGCGGTTTCGGACGCACCTTTAAAAACAGGATCGGCGTGCGCGTGGTGACAAAGCAATCAAGTTCTGCGGGCTGGCGCCGCTCAACGAAAAAAACACGTGCGAGGTGGGTGGCCAAAACTGCAACGTAAACCGGGGGTGTATGCCACGATGCATGTAAACAGCTACTGTCGGCAAGGGGTGAACTCCAGAGGTCCCTCGAGCTTCCTGGAGGCCCAAACGGCCAACTCTGCCAGACAAACTGAATTCTTCCCCGCGCGCTTCCTCAATCCTTAACCTGACGCGCGCGCTTCTGTGCGCCGTCGGGAGCCCTGCCCACCGCTTCTGGTCAGCAGGGTGGAGAGCTCAACCCCGGAACCGGCCCCCAACCCCAGAACCCGTTCGGTCGAAGCCCGAAATCGGCCTCAACCGCGAATCCCAGAATTCGCCTCGCAACCCGGACTTCGCTCCCAAACCCGGAATTCTGTACAAACTCGAAGCCCGGAGTTCCGATCGGTCAGTTAGGGAAATCGTGTTCTTCTCTCTTCTCTATCCCTTCCGCCCTCTGTACTTCCTTTCCGCGGTCCCTCGGCGACGACGGACGACGACGAACGACGAACGACGAACGAAGAACGACGAACGACGAATGACGGCGACGACAAAAGACGAAAGACGACGACGACGACGACGACGACGACGACGACGACGACGACGACGACGACGACGACGACGACGACGACGACGACGACGACGACGACGACGACGACGACGACGACGACGGCGGCGGCGGCGGCGGCGGCGGCGGCGGCGGCGGCGGCGACGACGACGACGACGACGACGATGACGACTGCGCGCTCGCGCGCGTCGCGTGCACTCCCGCGCTCGCCCGCACGCCGCGGGCCCCTGCTGTCTCCCGGGGCGTTCTCGCGGGCCGCAGTCGGGTTCTCCTCGAGGTTCCGTCGGAAGGCATCTCGGGATCGATGCGGGGGGCAAGACCTCCGACGTCGCGAAGGCATTGCCGCCGGAGGTTGTTCGGCGTCTTCGCCCTCGCGGGATCCTCGACGGGCTCCTGGCTCGTCAGGAAGCGGCCCAGGACGAGCAAGTGGCTCTAGGTAAAGGGTCGGGACTTCCGGGGATCCCACTGCCACGTGCCGAGTGGAGTAGAGTAGTTGTTTTGTTTCGCCCCTAGCGCGTTGCCGCGTGGCGCGTCGAGCGGAGCAGTTCCTTTTCGCCCCGTGGCGTTGCCACTCCGCGCGCCCAGCGGCCCGCGCAGGCCTGCCCTAGAACTGAGAACTGTGAGTGAATCAGCGCGGCCGATCTGCGCGAAAGATTTCAAGATCAGGCCATCGAGTGGAGCATACTGTTCGCCCAGCCCCCGAGGTTTGCCACGCGGCGAGTCGAGTGGAATGATATAGTTTCCTCCCCGCGGCGTTGCCATGCCCGGAGTATAATTGAATTTGTTTCGCCCCCAAGGCGTGGCCACGTGGCGAGTTGATTGAATGGAGTGTTATTTTTTGCCTCCCCAGGCGATGCATCGTCGCGTGTAGGATGGGTCATGCATTTCTTCCGTCCCTCGGTGCTGCCACGTGACGAGTGGAGTAGAGTAGTAGCTTTGTTTCCCTTCCCGTACGTCGCCGCGTGGCGCGTCGAGGGGAGCGAGTTTTTGTTTCGCCCCGTGGCGTTGTCACTCCGTGCGCCCATCGGCCAGCGCAGGCCTGCCCTAGAATTGAGAACTCTGGGTGAATCAGCGCGGCCGATCCGCGCGGAAGTTCTCAAAGTCAGGGCAGCTAGTGGATAACGATTGAAGAGTTGGTGCTGGGAGGTCCAGCGGGGTGGGTTGTCACGCACAACTCGTCGAGTTCCGCGGCTCCTCGGAGCGCTGCGAATTGCGCAATTGTCGCCACTTTCGCTGGCTGGGATGTTATTCCCCAATCAGAGCTTGCCTCTGTAGTGGGTCCCAGCGGATTCATATGGTTAGGTGAGGTGCGTCGCCGATTTCGGTGGCCGGCCTGGGTGTCTGGGTGCCAGGGGGTACCCGGAGGTTCCCGGGGGTGCCCAGAGGTGCCCGGGGGTGCCCAGGTGCCCGGGTGCCCGTGTGCTCTATCGCCCTATAGCACTATAGCCCTATAGCCGTATAGCCCTGTAGCCCAATAGCCCTATAGCCCTATAGCCCTGTAGCCCCATAGCCCTACAGCCCTATAGCGGCCTCCATAGCCCTCGCAGACTTCATAAGCCTAAGGAGCAATTGCAAAGGGATCTCATGTAAGATCACAAAGGACCCTGATTGGTTCTTTTCTCTGGTATCATGCGCACCCCGAAGAGATCTCGTGGCTCCCCTGGGGGCTGCGAAATGCACAATTTTTGGCGCTCACGTGGGCTCCGAAGTCCAGAGGAGGGGGGTGTCACGCAAACCTCGTCGAGACCTTGCGGCTCTCTTGGAATTCCATCTCTGGGCGTGGAATTTCGGTTTTGGGCTTTGGTGATTCCAGGTTTGGGCCAGATTGGATTCCAGGCGTGGCTTTCCAGGGATTCAAGGTTTGCGCTCCAGATTCCAGGTTTGGCTGGCATGGATTCAGGGTTTCGCCTGTTTGGGAATTCCGGGCGTCGCCCAGAGAAATGCCGGGGTTCGTCTGCCGACTTGTCAGCACGCCGCGCTGCTCTGCTCTGCTTTGCTCTACTCTTCTCCTTCCCCTCTCCCTGGGGAAGGGTGCGCAGTGGAAAATGCGCTTCCCCAGCTTGGAGACCATGCGGCAGGTCCTCAACGAAGAGGCCGTGTCCATAGCAGCGCCTGGCTCGTCGCACTCGGGCCACCCCGTGCGATTCGCAACGACATGGGGAGGGAGGAGGAGGAGGAGGAGGAGGAGGAGGAGGAGGCGGAGGAGGAGGAGGAGTAGGAGGAGGAGGAGGAGAAAGATGATGATGAGGAGGAGGAGGATGAGGAGAGGAGGAGGAGGAGGAAGAGGAGGAGGAGGAGGAGGAGGAGGTGGAGGAGGAGGAGGAGGTGGAAGAGGAGCAGGTGCTGGGGCATGGGGAGGACAATCATGATGATGTTGCTTTTGACAATGATAAGGGTGATGATGGCGGTGATGACAATGATGTCGATGATTCCGTTGACGACAATTTGGCGATGCTGACGACGTCGATAACGATGATGATGACGATGATGATGACTGCAATGATGATGGCTGTAGTGATGGTGATGGTGGTGAAGTTGGGGATGCAGATGGTCCTGATTACGATTATGCTGATTATGCGGATGTTGATTACTATGATTATGATTATGATTCCGATGCTGATGCTGATACGACGACAAGGATTATGATGATGCTGATGATGATGATGGTGATGACGACGATGCTGTTGATGATGGTGATGCTGATATTGATGATGCTGATGCTGCTGATGCTGCTGCAACTACTGATGATGATGATGATGATGATGATGGTGGTGGTGGTGGTGGTTGTGGAGATGGTGATGGCGGCGGTGGTGGTGAGGATGAACATGACGACGATTACAGTGATGACGGTGCTGGTGGTGGTGATGAGGAGGAGGACGGGGAGGATGGGGATGATGATGATGATGCTGATGATGATGATGATGATGATGATGATGATGATGATGATGATGCTGATGACGCTGATGACGATGACGATCATGATGATACAGATGAAGATGATGATGATGATGACGATGATGACGATGATGATGATGATGATGATGATGATGATGATGATGAGTATGATTATGATGATGATGATGATGATGATGATGATGATGGCGGTGATGATGATGATGACGATGACGATGATGATGATGATGATGATGATGATGATGATGATGATGATGATGATGATGATGATGATGATGATGATGATGATGATGATGATGATGATGATGATGATGATGATGATGATGATGATGATGATGATGATGATGATGATGATGATGATGCTGATGATGATGATGATGATGATGATGATGATGATGATGATGATGATGATGATGATGATGATGATGATGATGATGATGATGATGATGATGATGATGATGATGATGATGATGATGATGATGATGATGATGATGATGATGATGATGATGATGATGATGATGATGATGATGATGATGATGATATTACGATCGTCATCATGATGATTCTGATGATGATGAGGAGGAGGAGGACGAGGAGGAGGCGGAGGAGTTCCAGAAACTCTTCTCGTCTGCTGGGAACCCCATCCCCTCCTTCCCTCCTTCCTGCTGAGGAGGATAAGGCCTCCGCACGCTGTGCCCACTCCAGTGCTCTCGTTTCCAGCATCTCACCCTTCTTCGTTTACAGTCCTCCCAATTCTCATTTTTCTCTTGTCTTTCGCTTCCCGGTCTTGCTCACCTTGTGTTGTTTCCCTCCTGTAGTTGCCAGAGGCGTGTCTTATTTCCATTCTCCTCTTTTCATCGTGTTGTACCTCTTCTCTTTCCCTCCTCAATCCTCTTACTCTCCTCATCTGCCCCCTTCACCATCATGGTTCAAGCAATAATGTGTGAACACTGTTCCATGCATGTTCGATTCTCGCCGAGCCATCGCCATAGCAGGCCACTCTCGAAGAGGTCTGACTCGGACCACGTCGAATAAAGGCTCATACTGTGCAGATGTCACTTCCCATCACAGGATTCTGCAGTGGTGCGTCCTTCTTCTCTTCCTCCGCTTCCTGCGTCATCCACTAGGCAATACTTCGGGCACGCACCCCACACCGCTTGCCATCGGCGGACTGCATTGTGCAGCCCTCGTGGACGCCGATCCGCCTGGTGGTCGCGCACTGATCATGACTGGGATCAAGTGGCGAGTGCTGACCGACCGACCACGTCCTGCCTCTCTGCCTTCCTTTTCAGGCTCCGTCCGCCTTGCCCACCCTTGAGGTCCGA